GACATTATGTTACTAGCAAAGTCTTGAGGTCCATCCGTCAGACTTGACTTTACCTTCATTTTGTGAATAAAGGTCTAGTTTTCGTGGTCATATTCGTAATCCAGACACTTAAAGCAATAGGCTAACTATATTTGATGTATGGCATGATTGTAAGGTGTACATGCCGGTCTGTCAGGGTTCATTTGACCTTTACATCATTTGTATGGTTGTTTGGTAAATGTAATTTATTCGCGGTTAGGTCCATATCCCAATTAACTTCAACAGTAGGTCAAATAAATGTAGTGTATGGACTACTGGAAATTGTACGTGGGTCAATATCCCTAATGCGCCTCAAAATGAGGAACTCAAAAGTTGTGTGTAAACACAAAATCTCTGTGTAGTGATATTTGACACGTTTCTATGATAAACAAGTGACTATACCTGACATTATTTAGAAAGTAGGGGAACATAGAATAAATGTGTAAAAACTATGGAGCTATTAAATGTGTTCAAAGTATTAAATTTTCAAAGAACTTATTGTGTTAAAAAAGGGATTTTTAGCACGAGGAGCCGCATCACGAAAGGATTTTTGGGATTTGCTAATTTACGGAAAAAGTAATCTCACTTCGTACCCCGAAAATTTAACCACATATCTGAAAATGTCTGAGCTTGGAAACGAGCCATCATACATATCCAAGTTAACAATATGGACTGAGCAACAGCAGAAAACGTTACCATTACCGCCAACGGAGAAACAATTGCGAACATTGACCCATCTTACAACAAGATATCAGCAGCTCTCAGACTGATTTATGAATGATTGCACCTTGTACACCAGAGAAAATTGTGAAAATGAAGGTAAGTTGTCTTTAATATATACCTAGTTATCACAGCGGGTTCTAGATAAAAACTATCTATAAAGATCAGCTAGCTACTATTTTCGCTTTTGAAATGCATTACTGGCACGGGGCTGAACACTTCTGTTAGGCACAATCAAATCTCTGTTTTCCCGAGAGATCCGAAAGGCACTTGTTATGACTAGAAACCGGCATGAACATTTAATAATATTATTAAATTGTAAGTAAACATGACACAATAAAGTCTTTGTTTTGTAATTATCATTCTAGTCTACAGGAATTACTGATAATATAGAAAAATAACACACTTCATACAAGTAAAATTAGATACATAAGTCATCATTACATTTTGTACATATGCATTTACCCAATAATTTGACCCCTGGTCATTATAAATTATATGCGAAGAAACAGACAAATATGTCTTAAGAAAATCATGAGCTATTCTATTTTAATGCACACAAGCAAATCACAAGATATTGTCTTTTTCTCAGTGAAAAAGGGGGAGGGTCAAACCTTTTGAAAACATAGTGCTGCACCTATTCAACTACTATAATTAAGAAACTACTCATTGCTCCTCATATAAAAGGTTTAAATGAAGGTTAATAAGCCACAAAGGAGAAGCATCTCTCTTTTTTTGTGATAAAACTTTCAAGAATGAGATTATTATGAGGTTAATGAATTATGCGAAATATTTACTGTAACTGTTTTAAACATTGCAAGGAAGTGCATACCTACTAAGCAAGTAACCATACGATAAAACGACATAGTTTAATAGCGAGCTTTATAGAGGAGAAATGCGCACTAGAGATTGATTACGAAAAAAAGGCTATCAATCTGATATTGTGAAGTACAAGAGACTGAGAAATTGGGTCAATAATATGAAAAAAAAATTCTAAAGAAAGATTTGAAAGTAATTTATACCACATTATGTATCGAATACAAAAACGTATTGGAAAATAAGTAAAAAGCTAATCATGTCAAACAATGGATCATATAACATCCCCCACTCCAAAATATTATAAATACCGAAAAAATTGACGAATTTGCATATGAAGATGACGAAAAATGTGAGCTATTGAACAGGTATTTTAATTTAATCTCCAAAAAAGATGAGGGAAATATCAACTTACAACAATTTGAAAGTAAATCTGACAATAAAATTTGTGACTTGCATGTCGCTATTCACGAAATTATAGATATGATTAATATTCTTCATCGCAATAAATCATCGGGACAGATGTGATAAGCCACAGGATGCTCAAGATCTGTCCAGATAAAGTTGCAATACCTCTTCAAATTATTTTCAACAAGTCTCTTATTCAATGTGTATATCCAACAACCAGCTGGAAAATTGCAAATGTAATACTAGCTATTTTCAAAAAGGGGGACTCATCTTTGCCTTCTAATTACAGACCTATACCTCTGATTAGCTGTGTGGGGAAAGTTATGAAACTAGTTATTATTAAACTTGTATATAAGCATCTCTTTAATAACATACTTATTTATGAAAACCAATCAGGTTTGTTTGCCAAAAAATTCAACAGTGCATCAACTATTAGAAATGTATTAGTTTACCTTAAAATGCATTAGAAACAAACGAAATTTGCTGTTTTATTTTTTGCGATTTTTTGAAGGCTTATGACAAAGTGTGGCATATTGATTAACTACATTAAATGAAAGCATATGGCATAGAGGTAAATCTGTTAACTTGGTTCACTAGCTACCTTTATCAAACAAAAGGTTATCATTAATCAATCATCCTCGAGCTTTTGCAATGTTTCAGCTGGTGTACACCAAGGATTTTACTATGTACAATAAAAAATACCCATTGTGCGATCTCATACGCATCTAGGGGTTACATTTAGAAGTGACACAAAATGGAACAACCATGTTGAAAATATATTAAATAGTGTTAAAAAGCATCTGAATTTACTGCGAAAACTCAAATATCAACTTAGCCGACACAATTTGGAAAAATTATATCTTGTACTTATTAGACCAATTTTTGAATATGCAACTCAAGTACGGGACAATTACAGAAAAGGGTATTCAATTAAACTAGAACAGCTTCAAATTGAAGCTGCACGAATTGTAACTGGTTTACCTGTTTTCGCACATTCTGAGACTGTCTTAAAAGAGGTTGATTGGGAAACTTTAGAAGAACTAAGAAAAAGACGAAAACTACGATTGTTTTATAAAACTCAGAATAATAATGACCCTAGATATATGTAGCCTTGTGCCCCCTAAAAATCACAGTACAACACAATATCCCTTGCGAAATGGACAAGACATTATTTTACCATTTTGCAGGCTGACTGATACTGACTCCACAATCATTTACCCCCTCAACAATTAAATTTGGAATAATTTGAAAATGTCAGTTCAAATTGTAAACTCCACTATACAATATATATATAACTATACAAATTGAATGTGAGCATGCATTATATGATATAAACAACATAAATATTACTAAACTATACTGAAAAAAGGAAAAGGGATGACGAAAGAACGACAGAGATAAGGATGATGATGTACGTTTTACCTATGTTGATATTATACTACGAGCAATCGTTTTGATCTCTTTATAAAACTGAATACTTGTTTAACAATTTGCACATTTCGATCATAGGAAAGAGTTTCTTTTCCATTATCGAAATTCAAAGTAGAATTAAAAAAGCCATTACATGACATTCGAAATGAGAATCAATCTCAACATTATTTATATGGTCCTAGAAAATTGAATATAATCTTAACCCAATTTAGATGTTCGGCATCTTTCTTGAATTGTGACTTGTTTGGTGAAGGTAAATCCAGAAAAGCGCTTGAGACGCATAAAATTTATAACGTGTTGTTTTATTTTTTTACAGCACTGGGTCGATACCTCTGCTGGTGGACTATCAGTCCCCGAGGGTATCATCAACTCAGTAATCAGTTCTTCGGTACTGACATGATTTATAACAAACCTTTCTGAAATTGTCCGTTAATAAATTTTGAAATTATTAGAAACTAAAGTTTCAACTCCCTCAGGCAAAGTTGACCTTAGATGGATTTTGCTATTTTTAGGTCCTTTTTGGTAATATAGCTCTTCAACTGTTTCGGTTCCTATACATCCTCGGCTTTCGAATATTTGGTTTTGAGCGTTACTGATGAAGGTAAATCCAGAAAGGCGCTGCGGAAGCATACAATTTATAACGTGTTGTTTTCATTTTTTTTAGAGCTAACATTATATCTGATCCAACAGGTGAATGTGGTTTGGATATTGAGGACATGCGCCATTTTTCCTTTGAGTGTCCTTTTTATTTAAACGAAAGGGCTATTCTGTTTAATAGTCTCAGCTGGCTTCCCGAAGGCTGCAATTAGGACTTACAACTATTGGTTTTTGGAAAAGAAACTCTTTCCTATGATCAAAGTGTGCAAATTGTTAAACAAATATTCAATTTTATAAAGAGATCAACACGATTTCTCGTAGTATAATATCAACATAGGTAAAACGCATATCATCAGCATTATCATCATAATATTTATGTTGTTTATATCACATAATGCATGCTCACATTCAATTTGTATAGTTAGATATATTGTATAGTGGAGAAGACCTTATAAGTATGTTTTACTTGTGTCTGATCCTTTTTGCTTTATGCAAATAAAGTATGTTGAAACTAAAAATCTGTTGCTGTAGAAAGAATGGTGGTAAGAACTTTAAAAAGATAAGTCAGAATATATTATATTTTAATGTAATGCTCTTGAACTGTGTTACTGGCTGTTATGAAAGAAATATGTATACTTATTTTTTTTTATATTCTCCATCATGACTTCATATGTTACATGTAAGAATTAAAAAAATATAGATAGGTATGTAATTGGAGAATTCTTATCTTTATTCTTCATTTTCCACTCCTTTAGTATCTGTAACTTATTAATATTATTTATTTATTTTTCTATTTATTTTTATATTTTTTTAACTCTTTTATTTTGATCTGTTCTATAAAAAATGTCTAATATATCCAACTATAATGTATTTATATTAATGATATTATATAAATCTTAAATGTAGTATATTGTATGTATGTCATGTATATGCTTTAATTGTTGAAAAAAAACGGCGAGTCAGAAATGTATTTAATTTCCTTTCTACATATGCTTTTTTTTTAATTTTAGAGACTGCTGGAGAGCCTTGTTTTAGTACTTATCAGTTACCAGGTAAATATACTATATTACTTTTCTGATATAAATGTTTAATCTGAATATATATTTGATAATAGCTAGGAACAGCTCATTTCTATCTAGAGCAGGCATAGAGTGATTGGAAAAAGTTAATTTAATACCTTTTTATCTTTGAAATCCCTTTTCATGAAGTCAAAGAAGTCAATGCATTTCCTACGTCCGTCCATACACGACGTTTTCCAAAACTTTTCTGTGAAAGTGGTAGAAGACAAAAAAAATTGGAAGAAAACAAAAAACGCCATGGGCAAAACAAAACAACAGAAAGACAAACATCACTACACAAAATACTAGACAGAAAACTAAAAATGTATTCTTCGAGTCCTACAAAAAACAGATATGAAGTCAGGTGTCCTGACGAGTGAACAGTTTCAGCACAACTAGTGACACCGGTCGTATTACATACCATCACTGCACCAGATATAGATTTCGACAATTATTATTTCCTAAGTGATGTTAAAAGCCAAAATATTTAAAATTACAGAACCGAATACAAATGTTGAAAGCCTGATAAAACCTTGAAGGACCAAAAGTAAAGCCAAACCCGGACAATGAATCTATGCTTTAGGAAGAAATATTAATGATTTGAAATATTTTATTATAGCAAACTTCAATAAAACAATATATCAAAAGTAATATCATAAAAATTACAGATCAAGTATGAAGTATTTAATATAAATATTCCAGTTTAGCGACTGTTTAGAAGTTTTTGCTCTATAATATGTGAAATGCCTTGCAGATATCAGTTTGTAATGCAGTAATGAATATACTTTGGAATTGTTTATTTTTCGTTGGATACCAATTTTCGTGGATTTCGTGAGTACAGGTGAACAACGAATTTAAATGTTCAACAAATTGAAATTAGTTCATTGGCTTGTATGCAGACTTTGGCAAAATCACGAAATTAGATATCCAAGAAAGTGTAAGTCTTTCTCATTCCACGAATATTGGTACCCACGAAAATAAATGAATCCACAGTATTTGATATGAGGGGCTGAAGGACCTTTTTCGGAACGTCGGGATTAGGCCTTTAATTTTGCAGGAATTCGGGATTGGGCCTTTATTTTCGCGATATACCCTTATCGGGACTAGGGAATTGATGATAATTTTTTGGGGATCTGGGAAAGAATGCTTTATTTTTTCGGAAATTCAGGATTATACCCCTCCTAACGCCCATCTGATATGGAGTTTCAATTAAAACTTAAATTTTTCCAAGACTAGAACTTTTGTTGTAAGTTTTGGAACTTAAAAATAGCTAGTTGGTGTTAAATATCGTGAGTTTCGTTATGCTGGCAGTTGTTGAAAAGATTTTCAACTTAAACAAATATTCTAACCCGATGTTTTATAACATTGAAACTTCCAATTAGTCTTCAGAAGTTCATATGTCGTCCGTCGGACATAAGTATCCATATTTATGTCTCAATTCAAACTTTTAATTGAGGGCCAACAACACAAAATGAGAAAATAATCTCATTTTGAGATCCTGTCTGTGCAACAGCTTTAACAAAAATGTATTTGCTTACAAGATATTTCTCAAAGATGTTGATATGTGTAAAATATATTTTTATGTAATGCTCTTGGTCGTATAATTTTATTTACCCAAAACTTTGCGTGAAATGGCCAATTTAGGTAAAATACTTACATATTCACATGTCTTAGTGTTCATAGTGACACTAAAGCTACCAGATTGAAGCAACTGGTTTATTTTCTAAAATTTACATAATTTTGAAAAGCGTGAATAGTTTGTTAATTTTGCAATTCCAGGTACCAAATAATGGCTTTTATTATACCTCAGTATGTTTTTTCTATATAAAAAAGAATGAAATATTTGTGCTATTTCATTCCACAGACTATTTGCCAGTCAATAGTTTCAAAGACTATTACCCCGGTCAATAGTTTTATAAACATATTTCCCGTACTTTTTCATACTATTTTTTCTTTGGACAACAATGACGTCATTGACTATTTTGCTTGGATTTGTGCGTTTGGCAACGTTAAAATCTGAAATATCGTAAACGGTATAATCTGTATGTGTCTGTAGTCGTAATTTGAAATTGGTATATTACTTACTAGAAGAATTTAAAAAAAAAAAGAAAAAGAAAATCCACGCGACATATTTTAAGAACTAAAACATAACAAATGTATGGTCTTGGTCTGTCGTCGTCTTCATAATCTGGTATTGCTTTGATGTACGGAAAATATTGTTTATCATATGCACGGGAATTTTTACACAAGGATTCCTGGTCTTGATTACAGTAAATGAAATATTGACAAATACCACACGGGCAAAAAAAAATCCAGATAGTTCATCTTGTGCATGTCTTTGTGACTATTTGTTTTTTTCCAAGTGGTGTATGTAGTCTTTTTATAAAATTGTTTTGTTCGGTATAATAAAACACGTAATGACTGGTTATGAGTGTAATAGCAAGTTTGTTGTCCCTTTGATACTAACTATTGCCCTCGGCTTCGCCTCGAGCAATAGTTAGTATCTCAGGAACAACAAACTTGCTATTACCCTCATAACAAGTCAATAGGTGTACATTATCATATATCCTCCTTTCAGATGTACATAAATAACAATGAATTGGTCTAGTTGAATATTTTGCTTTGTGATTACTCTATAGCTTTTGATCTCAATGATGTTGATGCTGATATTTACATCCGTCAATTGCCAAGCGTTTCGTCATGCATATGAATGAGTAAATTTTTCACGTAACTGGGATTTAGTCATGTTTTATCTATCTAATTTTAGTTATCAATATATGTACAGACGACATTAAAATCCATGATTTAAGCGATAAAGTAATAATAAAAGCCGATTCAAGACAAAACTGTACATGTGAACTATATGTAATCAATCAAGATAAAGCAATTACAGTAATTATTAAAAAATTTGGTCAAGAGAGAAGTTCAAGTCCATCAGCTTACGGATGTGGTTTGATACTGACGTTTGATATCAGATTAGTTCGTTTTTGGGAGGCTGCATGCAAAGTCGATAATAATATTTCAACACTGATAGCAATCAACGATGTGATGACAATTAAGTCAATGGCTGTGAATGGAATGTTGGAACCTAATGAAGGGTATTGTATTGAAATAAAAAAAGGTACATCTCAGTTCTGTTTTAAAAAAATAAGATTAATTGCTACAAGTTTAGAAATTATGTTAAATTATGACTTCACAGAAGTCAAAAATGCTTATGATTAAGGGACACAACTGTGATGCATTTCAAAGTATACACAAAAATCTATGTCCTGAAGACTAGGGAAAATCTTTTTTAGGAAAGTGACATAAGAAACAATAGGTACAATAAAAATAAAAATAGCAGTATTTTTTCTTCACTGGAAATCTTTCACCAAAATTTAAATCTGGTTTTCTCAGGCCTCACTATCCGCTATTTGATACTTGTGCTGACTCAGTTTAACCAATTCATTTTTGTATGTCTTTGAGGACAATAATTGATTTTTCAATATATGTTCAACGTTAAATTGTATATACATGTTGTAACAAGAGAATAACATGAATAACTGTGACCTTTTCGTTAATCAGTTTGAACTATAATTCATATTATTTCCATTTGTATATCAATTTGCTAGAAACTATGGCGATGTACCATAATTGACAAAAATTCTAACAAATTTTATGGGAAAAAAATATTTTTGCAAAGGCTTTACTCAAAAATATGTTTAACCCTAAACACAACCATGTTAATATAAAAAGAATACAAACAATATCTGTCATGATAATGTATTATGTGATAATGTGTAATGAACACTTGTAGGATTATAGTACATTTTATAATTCAAATTCAAGGGCCATATAAATATAAAGCCTTCAAACAAATAAAATTTCGGGGTAGTAGCTATTGTCACAAAAAAACTCCAGTAAAAGAAGTTAGTATGTCAAGAATCACAAATTGCCCGGTTTATATGCAAAGCATATTAGATGATAATAGATATAAGAAAATGTGGTATGAGTGCCAATGAGACAAATCTCCATCCAAGTAAAAATTTATAAAAGTAAACCGTTATAGGTCAAAGTACGGTCTTCAACACGGAGCCTTGGCTCGCACCGGAAGCATATAAATCTGTGCACTTTACTTCAAAAATGTCACTTTATGATGTCACAATCGACTTTTAGTAGTTTGACTATTAAATATAAGGAACAGTCTAAATATCAATTAAACATTTAGTGGTTATGTCAAACTCTCGCTTTTGTCTTGCATGGCACAAAGCTTTTACCATCGTTTATAATTTAATATCTTCAGCACATTTGATTAATTTCTATTGATGTTAGTCTAAAGATTTGAATGCTAAATATCTATATCGAATGCAATTCTAATCGGTGTTTTTGCACGCAAAATTTCTACTTTTCCTGGAACGCATTCATATGTTTTTGATTCACAGGAGTAGATGATTCATCTGGAAACAAACTTAAGTTAAAGTGTGGTATTGGCAGCACCACTGCATATTCAACCACAGCCCTGATTGCAAAAACGACAAGATCGTCGACTGAAATAACAAATCCACTACCATTGATGACAACAAGGACGACAGAACACCAATTAACAACATCATTTGACTCTGATGAATTCATCTCTGCAACTGTTACAAGTTCAGATTTCCCTCTAAACACAAAACAAACAAACCAACAACAAAAAGATAACGGTAACGGCACAATCTAATGATAGATTTTCCTATTCATGTCCCTTAGAGTATAAAATTTAAACTGCAAGTTTTTTTTCTCTCTGTTGTTTACAATTCATACAAATATAGAGTCTGACAAATGACATGGAAGCGTCAGTACCAATCAGTATGACCGTACGTTTATCTCTGACGTTGATAATTTTATATCAATTTTGCGTTGTTTAATTCAATTTACCTTGCATTTCAATTTTGTATGCTTTATTCTTTTCTATATATGGTATATATCTTTTGTCCTCGGATTCATTTTCATGGTTCGGCGACTGATCAAAAAACTAGTTTATGAAGAATGAACTTCCTGCTTATTATAAGTGATATGTGACTATACCTGACATTATGTTACTAGCAAAGTCTTGAGGTCCATCCGTCAGACTTGACTTTACCTTCGTTTTGTGAATAAAGGTCTAGTTTTTGTGGCCATATTCGTAATCCAGACACTTAAAGCAATAGGCTAACTATATTTGATGTATGGCATGATTGTAAGGTGTACATGCCGGTCTGTCAGGGTTCATTTGACCTTTACATCATTTGTATGGTTCTTTGGTAAATGTAATTTATTCGCGGTTAGGTCCATATCCCAATTAACTTCAACAGTAGGTCAAATAAATGTAGTGTATGGACTACTGGAAATTGTACATGGGTCAATATCCCTAATGCGCCTCAAAATGAGGAACTCAAAAGTTGTGTGTAAACAAAAAATCTCTGTGTAGTGATATTTGACACGTTTCTATGATAAACAAGTGACTATACCTGACATTATTTAGAAAGTAGGGGAACATAGAATAAATGTGTAAAAACTATGGAGCTATTAAATGTGTTCAAAGTATTATATTTTCAAAGAATTTATTGTGTTAAAAAAGGGATTTTTAGCATGAGGAGCCGCATCACGAAAGGATTTTCGGGATTTGCTAATTTACGGAAAAAGTAATTTCACTTCGTACCCCGAAAATTTAACCACATATCTGAAAATGTCTGAGTTTCGAAACGAGCTATCATACATATTCAAGTTAACTTTATGGACTGAGCATCAGCAGAAAACGTTACCATTACCGCCTATGGAGAAACAATTGCGAACATTGACTCATCTTACAACAAGATATCAGCAGCTCTCAGACTGATTTATGAATGATTGCACCTTGTACACCAGAGAAAATTGTGAAAATGAAGGTTAGTAGTCTTAAATATATACCTAGTTACCACAGCTGGTTCTAGATAAAAAATATCTATAAAGATCAGCTAGCTACTATTTTTGCTTTTGAAATGCATTACTGGCACGGGGCTGAACACTTCTTTTAGGCACAATCAAATCTCTGTTTTCCCGAGAGATCCGAAAGGCACTTGTTATGACTGGAAACCGGCATGAACATTTAATAATATTATTAAATTGTAAGTAAACATGACACAATAAAGTCTTTGTTTTGTAATTATCATTCTAGTCTACAGGATTTACTGATAATATAGAAAAATAACACACTTCATACAAGTAAAATTAGATACATAAGTCATCATTAAATTTTGTACATATGCATTTACCCAATAATTTGACCCCTGGTCATTATAAATTATATGCGAAGAAACAGACAAATATGTCTTAAGAAAATCATGAGCTATTCTATTTTAATGCACACAAGCCAATCACAAGATACTGTCTTTTTCTCAGTGAAAAAGGGGGAGGGTCAAACCTTTTGAAAACATCTTGCTGCACCTATTCAACTACTATAATTAAGATACTACTCATTGCTCCTCATATAAAAGGTTTAAATGAAGGTTAATAAGCCACAAAGGAGAAGCATCTCTCTTTTTTTGTGATAAAACTTTCAAGAATGAGATTTTTTCTCTGTCAATAATAGTTATGTACTTATACGAAATGATAACACAGCCTGAGTAAATTTTTTGTCTTATTTCAGTTTGAGACATATCATTACTATTTAACCTGAGACGACAAACTAGAGGTTTTAAACAGTTCTAAATAACTGGTAAGCATTTTATTTTATTAGGCAAGCTCTAAATTGTTTATTTATGGTATTTATGCAATTGAAATTACAGTCAGTATGTTGAAAATATGAAAACTGTTGCTATGGTCTTGATATTATATAAAAATGCTTAGTTACTGATCTTTTCGAGTTAAACTTTGAGGCAACTGTTCCTCATGTATCACTGCAAACTGTAATTAGCATTATTTTGATCGGTCGTTATTTAATGATGTCATAATACATGTGATGTCACAATGTTTCCTTTAAAACCTCATGTGCATTTCTCACTGATAAAGGGTTTTCACAGAAATACATCTAAAAAACCTTCTTTTTTTTAAATAGAATTATGTGAAAGGACAAATTTTGAAAATTTGTACTTCATTGCGCTCTAATTATATGATAAAAATGACATTCACAGTAGTTTAGAGTGGATTCTATAGTTGAAAATACCAGATTTCCACTGGTTAAAATATTTAAGTATTTTGGTGTCTTTTTTATGAAATCTACATTTTTGCATAATTTCTCAGTCAAAATGCACTTTTAGGCACCAGAAATTTTTATTGAATGCTTTCACAGGGTCTGTGTATTGTAATTTAAGGTTATCATCAGATGTTTTGTCCATATTATGACTAGTGAAGGTATACTGGGAAAAATAATTATGCATACACATTGTATTAAAAATAAATAGATAAAGCGATAAAAGGGTCATTGCCTTATAGTGCTGAAACAACTTTATTTTTTTTTCAGAAATGGACAAAAATACACGGAGTTATTCAGAAAGTCATACCGATGAAGATCACACAAGAATATTTGGAAAAATCAGAACTATGGATTTCAATATGGGTCAATATCCCTAATGCGCCTCAAAATGAGGAACTCAAAAGTTTTGTGTAAACAAAAAATCTCTGTGTAGTGATATTTGACACGTTTCTATGATAAACAAGTGACTAGGCTTAATCATTTGTGTTGATTTAGAAAGTAGGGGAACATAGAATAAATGTGTAAAAACTATGGAGCTATTAAATGTGTTCAAAGTATTAAATGTTCAAAGAACTTATTATGTTAAAAAAGGGATTTTTAGCACGAGGAGCAGCATCACGAAAGGATTTTCGGTGTTTGCTAATTTACGGAAAAAGAAATTTCACTTCGTACCCCGAAAATTCAACTACATATGTGAAAATGTCTCAGCTTCAAAACGAGCCATCATACATATCCAAGTTAACGAAATAAACAGAACAAAACGTTACCATTACCGCCTATGGAGAAACAATTGCAAACATTGACCCACATGTCCGTCTGGTAGTGTTTATCGTATACTCTCCTTATTCTCATTTTCATTGGTTAAGCATGTTTGCTACTCTGTTTAAAAATAACAAGCTTTTTAAAAGAATGTTATAAATTGAAAGTATAGGAATAAAGGAACCAAAAAAGCAGAAAAATGAAGGGTCCGTGTGCTTGTTTTCGATATATGAGCCATTGAAAAATTGGCGAGAAGTCATTGTCTTTAGATTTTTCATACATTTAACATTGGCACCTTTTTTCCTTCAAAAACTATGAAAAAATAACAAGGTTTTTTTTAAGATTTTCAAATATGGCTTTTTAAACTATATGTAATAAAATTATAAAAAGAAAAGTAGGGGTTTGTGGGCAAAATTTTTAATGGCGCTACATGGATAAAACTAGAGGATTCCGAATATCTAGCAAAATTCAAAAACAAGAGGAGCGAACATCCTTAATGATTAGTTGCATGTCTTTTCTTTATTTTTTAAACAAAATGTCAATTTAAATTGGTCTATTGAATAAAAGGTTTCTCTATTTTGTTGAGGTGATATTTGTTTATTTTATCCGTTTTACAATTTTTGTATTGAAGAACTTGATGAAGATAACATCAGATGATATCAACGGGATATTCCAACTCATTATTCGAAGTCAAACTGACAACGCCACGGCAAAAAACAAACAAAAAACGACCAAAATACAAACAACAATCTTCAGAACACAATATAGAAAAGATTCACAAACCCCACAAACACAGTAATTGATCGCAAGTGCCCAAGAGGGGTAAACATATCCTGTCTATTATGTGGTATCCTTTGTGTTGTTCATGTTAGTACAAATTCGGTGATAAGTCTGATTCGGTAATGTCGGAAAAATTAGACGAGATTGTGTTTAGGACAATTGGAAGTTATCAATCTTCATCTGTGAAACAGATATTCCAAAACGATCAACAAAACTTGTGATGCAGTCCGTAAAATAGTCGAAGGGATGACTTTGATTTCACCATTTGAGTCTTTGGTTTTCTTGTGAGCAACAACCCTCTATCAAGGAAATCATGATAGGAAACGCACGCTCTTGTCATATCATGTCATGTGGGAGATATATACTCCATATACAGGCGCTGCTGGAGATTTGCTACAAAGAAATGGAAAGTTTTCAATTGGGAAGCTAAAAATTTTTTGTTTGTCGGAAAGTGTTTTTCTCAACAAAACCTCATTGCCAATTTCAAGATGAAAGTCAAGTTATGGAACAGACTTAAATGTATATATGGAATCCTATATTTCGAGTTCGCTGGGCACAGTCACCACACTTATTAATTATTCAAAATTATTTTGTAAATAGACATTATCTGTATAGCGGACAATGCTAGCTTCTTTTCATTCTTCCTGACATCCTCCAGCATGAAGTCTGCCTCATATGAATTAAGCTAAATTTAAAGTAACGTATAACTTAACGTTTGTAATTTGTTATCCTTTGTTATAACACAACCAATCCAAGGATTTGTCCTTTGAATCCAATATCAATTTGAAAACGTTATTTCTTGTAATCACATAATATTTAGATATGGAGTTCTTCTAAACTGTATTTCAAATACATCTGTTTACGTTTTTGTATTCCCTCCCGAGTTCAGAGGGAAAGGTAATAACAATGAATAAATATTGCTTTAAATGGATTGCATATTTTGTAGGTATTGATGATACAGCATTATACGTATCGATATCAGCAACAGTTGTAGGAGTTGCTACAGTAATCATCGTAACAATAATGGTTTTATATTATAGAAGGTTGGTATAAACACAGTTGTTATTTCCACGTCGAATATCGATATACTTGCACCTGACGTATGATCATTTGCGACCCAATACGTCTAGATATATTTGACCCAACGAGGTGTTCAACACTCATTTAACCGATATTATATCTACATGTGCTGATTATCGTAATACATTTAAATACACAAATGTTTATGAAACGTAATTGTAACTAATCTGAAAATGAATGAACACTTTATAAATTATCTGCATCCGAAGCACTTTAATGGATTATAAGCCAAGTATATTTAATGAGTTTTACCTTTACCAAGAAAGCGCAAGTCAAAATATGTAAGTTCCAATGCTGTATATATACCTTAATGCGAAAGGAGCTATGACAAAATAGGATCATAAAAGGTAGCGTAATTCATCAAGGAAAAATGTGTCTAAGAGAGTGAGAACATTAGTTTCTTATGATTTCTCAATTTGCAAACGGGGAATTTACGAAAAGTATGTTATACATCATGTCCTGTTGGACCAACAATTCCACCAGCAAGCCAACGTAAAAAAAGCATTTGGTATACAGTGTGAAAAGACAACAAGTCGAAACATTTTGTAAATTTTAGATGCTGTACATAAACTTGATGAGTTTAAAAAAAAAATTATAAACTTAAATGAATTCTATATCAAGAAAACATGAATTCTGATGGAAATAACAATACTTATTTTCAACTTCGTACTTTGTTTGGCCTTTTTTACTTTTATGATTCGAGCGTCACTACTTTTGTAGACAAAATGCACGTATTTGCGTACAAAATTTCAATCCTGGTATCTATGATGAATTTATTTATTTACACCAATTATTGACAAATATTCAACCAATAATATCTTGCAATTTTAAACAGATTTTCTTTATACTATCAATAGATATATGAGTACCAAATTAGTTATTTCATGTGTTATATAGGTTCCGAATATTGACGCAGTGTAGGAACAGGACATGTTCAGGATCAAATACCATTTATGATACACTGAGTTTAACTTCATCAGTAAATGGAGCAGACAATACCAGTATTAGTAATAATTATAGTTCTTTAAACATAAATGATTTTCTGTCATCATGTGATAATAGAAGATTAGATGGAACGCAAAACATTCCTTTATCTACAATCAGTACAGTACAGGGAAACAGCACAAATGTCTCGGAAAATGAAAGGAATTACGAAAATACAAATAAAAATAGAAACAATAGGAAATTCCTTATTATTACGGCCTCAAAAAGTCTTATAAAATATTCTAAAAGAATGATCATTGTAGTATCTTCTATTTATAAAATGATTTGCAATATATGAACGTGTTTCCTCTATCACCAATTTTCTCTAATCAACTTATATTAAACAATTTACGACAATTGGTTACAGAATCTTGTCCATCTGACAATAATCAATAAGTTATGCAGTCAAGGGAACCGATATAAAATGAATTTCAGATGTTTTAGTTTCTATTAAGAAGTGGGAAGAAGACACGGATACACTTATAAATAAATTAGACACCGCCGTGATATGTGAATGTCATTGCAGAGAATACAAACAAACTTCTATGATTGTTAGAAAAAAAAACCTGATAAGATATAACAACGTCGATTTCCAACAAAAGACAATTAAACTTGTAATCCGATTGCACGGAACTGAGCCACCTTCTATGGTATTTGACCAATAGTCGACAATTTGGTAGACTTACAGAAATAATTGTCCTACTAACGTAATTGCAGTCACAATTTGAATGAACTACTTTGATATTATGATTTACTTATGATTATGATGAACTTTTGGAACAACATGCAGAATAAATCGCACAAAAACCCGTCTTATTTCTCATAAGAGGAGCATTATACATACATTACATAATTTTTCTGAACACAATTAACGTACTAGTACTTTGCCCTTTTCTTTAACCTGCATCATTACATGTCTCCTTTAGAACTTCATATAGCAATGTTGACCGCATGTGGTTTAACCTTTCGTATCAGAATATTTCTTGCAATATAATTCTCCAATACATTAACGGTACCAATTGTAAGCTGATTTTTACAATTTATCTCTCTTCAATGATGTGCAAGACCACATGCTTTAAAATCCAACACCTTATAACAAACATTGAAGAACTGGTATAACAAACAAATAAACAAACACCACACCATAAGCAAAGGCTAACCCCTCATGCTTCAAGACATTATATATCCCCAGTTTTAAAATTTATGGTGTCAAGTCCCCGGTTTTAAAATTCAGTCGTTTCAACGATGTATACATATGTGTGTGGATTAGCAGAAAAACAAAACCCTCTCAACAAAATGAAGAAAACATCACTTTCGTAATCAAATGAAGAAGAATGCGTAGAACCTTCTCAAAAACATAAATAAAATATTGCCTAGTTTCACTTTCAGATGTATTGATGAAGCTTGTCATTCATAAATACATAGTTCAGTGGGTACTTGTATCTCATAGTGTGAAGTGAACTTAAGATTCAGCATACTACCGAATCTGAAAGGTCTGCTTCATATCTTGATTTTTCCTCTAAACATTGAAGTATATGGACAATAGAATTTATGACAAACGTGATGACTTCAGTTTTCCAATTGACAACTTCCTATTGTTAATTAGTGGAATACCCTCTCGTCCATCGATTGACTTTACGTATAATTCAATCATTTATCGTGTCACTGGTAAAATACGACATAGTAAAGATATAGTACTGTGACTTCATATCTTTTCTGTTCTGTGAATAACACTTAAGGAAAAAGTTACGAGTCCTTTAGGGATACATCATACAGAAACAACGAAAACAAACCCGAAAAGTATACAATGTAGCACAGAGATGTGAATTTGATTGCAAAACAAATCGTTTAACAGAAACGATATTGACAAGAGCTCGAAGCATAACAAGGAACAATGTGTGACTTCTGATTCTTCTATTCGTGATCTGTTGAGTGCTAAACCACTCCATGTCAAACAATTAGTAAACTCGAAAATATCTAATCTCAAATATATATAAGAATTGAACTTTAATCTACCTAAATCTTGAATCTTTTGATAAGAATAATGGGTTAATTGCATGTAGTAGCTGACAACTGTATCCATATGGAGTCCCTAGTGTGACAGTATTTGCTTTAAGTTAGCTGAAAATCTGAAAAGCTCTGTGATATTGGCAACCAAAAAAGGATAGTTGGATCTTCAAAATATCACGTTCATATGGCAAAAATTATAACTAGACTAAGTCTAAATAAATAAGTAATACCACCTTGGTGTAAAAATGTCATAGTGAAATAATGTTTACATAATGAGTATAAAACCAGCAAAGGTCATGATTTCTTATAACAATATTTTAATATTTTGAACTAGCTATCAGTAACTGTGAGAACTCTCAGATCCGTCCTTTAGGTCTTTTTTGTTTTGTTTTTTGGGATGTATAAATATCTTCCACGTCCGATCTGTGTTTTCGTCAGATGTTTTTCTGCTTTATATCGATATGATTAGTTAAATCCTTTTCAACTGATTTTTTAGTTTGTTCTTATGGTATACTGTTACATAACTGTCCAACGTTAGATCGAGGGTTGACACCCTCAAATATGTTGAACCCAGCCACATTCTTGATGTGCCTGTCCCAAGTCAGAAGCCTGTAAATGATTAGTTGTAGTTTTTTGCTGGTTCTCGTATCTGTTTTTCGTTTATTGTTTTGCAAAGTTTGTTCTTGTGTTGTGCAGTTACACCACTGTCCCAGGTTAAGGGAAGGATTGGTGCATTCTTTAACCCCGCCATATTCTATATAAGACTGTTACAAGTCAGGAGCTTGTAACTAAGTGGTTGTCGTTGGTTCATGCCTTTTATATCTGTTTTTCGTAAATTGTTTTGTTATAAATTAGGCTGTTAGTTTTCTAAATTGATATTTTTCATGTCGGGGCCTTTTATAGACGACTTTACAGTATGAGTTCTTCATTGGTGAAGGCCTAAAGGTTGCCTATAATTACTTAAATCTAATTCATGTGAACTTTGGTGGATTATATTTATATGTATATCTCTTTGAGGATTCCGTGTGTGGGTGTTGCATGACAAATGTTTGTACCTATCTAATATACCCTCATATTTTCCAGTGGCAATCTAAATGTCCCGACTATCATCCCGGACGGCCTCTATTACTGACCCTACCTATTGTATGTATTATTAGCATGTTCTCGTCCTGAACATGCATGCAGTATATCCCGCTGGACGTTAAGCTAGCAACCATCAATCAATCATATTGGCTATGTTTAACTGTTTTATCCCTAATTTCAATAAAAGGGATGCCTTGTCAAATCCTCTATACAAGGTAACATGGGTAATGTTTGTAACAGCTTATTGTGAAATTTAAAGGGGGAAAAACAATTGACAAAAACTTGACAGAGCATTGAGGTACCGGAGATATAATGTTTAAATTGCAGTTATATAACTGTATTGAGTTAATTCTTTTCAAAACGATAGGTCTTTCTGTTGAAAAAAAAAACGCAGACGATACCAAGTTTCAATCAAATGTGCTTCAAGGCATACAATAATTACCTGCATTAATAATAAGCCATTATTTATCCTGATTAGAATGTAAATAAACTACAGTGTACTAAAACATTTAATTCGTTTGAACGCTATAGTGTGGTCTTGTCAATTGTGGTTGTACTGTACAATTCACCATCTTGAACAGTCTTTAAGGCTTTAAGGCAAAAAAAAAATATTCTCTCCTACGTTTATTAAACTGAAATACACTAAGACATTGTTAATGAATAGTTTAACTTTGAATTTCGTAACACATAATGTGAAGTTTTCTTAGTTTATCTCTACAGTTAAGGGGCATTATATGAGATACATTTAATAATGCTAAACTTTTCAAAACACTGTTAATCAATCCCAAATTGATCACATTCGTGTGTAGGATGAATGAAATACAACAATTCACACTATATTAGAAATCGTATTATGACGATTGATGTCAGTATTGCGTGTTACATCTATATTACTATTTTGTGCACTTTTCGTGTCAGTTCTTGATTTTTTTACATTTATAAATACCCATTACTACCTTAGATGACCACATATTTACAGTTTCGGTAGAAAAACAGCCACGTACATTAAAAGGAAGAGTAATGAAATGATACGTTTTAATTGCGATGTGTCTCAACCTGAAAGTAAGAAGTGTCTATTTGAAAGCAAAAAAATATTCAAACTAAGAAATTATCAACACAAACTCACAACCATTATATCGTAGGATTTTTTTTAGAAATGAATATATATTAATATTTTGTCAGAAAAATTTATTAAAATGTAAGATGAATCTCATGTGAGACATAACATTTTTAAATTTACATGATAAATCAACAAAGATTTAAATTTGAAACGTAGTGGATATCTCATTTCAGGTGCATTTTAATGATATTCATTTCAACTTAATTAAACAAAAGAACAGTACACCAATTTAATTGCAAAAGATCCACACTCCGACAATTAATGTCACTATAAGTCAGAACTCTTGATAGCCAAAAATCTAATATTTACATTGAGGAGCTGATAAAAATCTGAAAGGACCATAAGATATACCAAACCTGCACTTATAAATGATTTTATCTCTGTTCATGAATACTCTTTATGCGTGTTATTAATTTAAAATATTCATGTTAATTGGAAATCAATATAAAAGAACTATAAATAGTTTAAATTGTTGAATAAACTTGTATAAACAAACCGGTTTTACCATTTTACACTTCCTACTTTTGGTTTGAAATCAAAGTGATCTGTTAGTAAAATTGGTATGAAGGCGATGCCATTAATATATCTACCATTGTTAGTTACATTTGTTACTATTATAGGTGAGTTGTATACTTTCACGTCAGTTTTTTTTTTTCACTCTTGTAGAAAAAATAGGTTGTGAATAAATCACAGTTCAGCAATTGATAAACATTTTAAATAACCGAATTATACTTTGACTCATGTATCAGAAAACAATATTTAAAATTGAAAATGGAAATGGGGAATGTGTCAAAGAGACAACAACCCGACCATAGAGCAGACAACAGCCGAAGGCCACTAATGGGTCTTTAATGCAGCGAGAAACTCCCGCTTATTTATATATATATATTAAATATATATTCAGCAGAATCAAATAATAATATATGTTAAAAATTGTTAAATAAAGAAATGAGCCTTTTTATGCACGACAACAGTAGGGCTATAATATTGAGTTGTTTCTTTGTTTTTTTAATTCGTTAGAAACAAACTATATTTTGATAAACATATTTGATTTGTCTTGATGCATTATATTTTGCATTTGCCTATAGTAGCTAAAAAATGAAAACGACACGTTATTAATTTCATGCGTCCGAAGCGCTTTTCTGGATTTACCTTCATCAGGATCGATCAAATCCGAATATTTGAA